TTAATAATGCTGTCATACCTTATTCAGCTACTGTGAAAAATCTAGGACTTATCATTGACAGCAGTCTAAGTTGGCGGCCGCAAGTCACGGAAGTAAGCAAAAAAGTTATCAACACCTTGCGTTGTCTGTATCGACTCAAGAATTTTCTTCCAGTGAGAACAAAGGTAATGTTGGTTCAAACGCTCGTATTACCAATACTAGATTATGCAGATGTATGCTATGCTGATGCCTCTCAAGAACTTCTTAACAAACTGGATCGTCTTCTCAATAATTGTATTCGCTATATCTTTGGCTTACGTAAATTCGATCACGTCGTCTCTTCATTCCGTTCTCAGCTCAAATGGCTGCCTCTTCCACTTCGTAGATCTTTTAGAATCCTTTCTATGCTATTCTCTATTTTACACGATCCGTTTGTCCCTGCATATCTGAAATGCAAATTTCAGTGTCAGGGCGATTCTCACAACCGATGTCTTCGTTCCGCGGAAAATCTAACTCTTCATGTTCCTTTCTGTCGCACGGGCTTCTCTTACAATTCTTTCACTTCAAATGCAGTAAGACTCTGGAACATGTTACCCAGAAATATAAAAGAAGCAAAAACTAAACCTATCTTTAAACGTTTACTCTGGGAATATTACTTAACGAAGCAGTAGTAGTTTCGGATTATAATAAAAAATTTAAAAACTTCAGAAACTGTTATATTCTCAAGTATGTATAATATAAAAATATCATATTTATTTATTGTGTATGTATTTATTGTGGGTATTTGTGTATATATATAAAATAATATTGTATGCATGTAAGTAGTAATGTAAATGTATATGTATGTGTATTGTTTATTATCATTATATTATAATTTTGTATTTTTTCCTTAAACCTTTAATTTTTTTTAATTATGAGTTTTGCACCCATCACTAGATTCTCTGCACAAACCAAAGGTAGACTGGTAGAGAATGCCTTTAGGCATTAAGTCCGCCGTTTTGTACATTTCTTTTATGTGTGCAAATAAAGCTTAAATAAATAAATAAATAAATATTAGTGAAAAACACTGAACTCGCCAGACGAGTCGTCGGCACTGGAATAAGATTTACGTGAACTCTCCGGGCGAGTCGGTGGCACTGAATGTGTTAAGGCTGAAACACTATATGGAAAAACTTTGGAAGGCTACGGGAGGCGGGAGCAAATCAAGACCCCGATCACAGTACGGCTCAAGCAAAATTGATAGACAACAAAATAGCATACAGATTCAATTTAAACTCTGTAAATAAACACTTTTTACTACCACCATTAATAATGGAATCTACGATATTATTCAATGCGACAAACTCTATAGGACCGATATTTGAAAAAACATACAAACCCCAAGACGGGACATTTCACATACACAACGACGGATTCGAAAACGCAGATTACATAATTCGACGAGCCAATGTCGATTCTATTACACACGGGAAACGCAGGAGTAAGAAGCGTATCATGTGTAAAAACAAACACAAAGAGATATGAAGAAGCGACAGTGGACAATCTAACAATAGGAAGACTGTACACCAACGCTCAAAAAGATTTCATGGGAAGCATAGGAGTGGGAATAATACCGTTATTAAACAAAGACAGGAGTCTAGAAGACGCAATATAAACATAATGGTAGAAACAAACATAGAAATTGAATGCATATCTCACAGAACAAACTTGCTGATCGGAAAATACAACAAGGCACAACCAAATACGCTATTCTCTGGCTAGCTATAGACAAGTACAAATGGAATAACAAATATACAATAGCCGGAGCACCAGCAGTAGAGTAGGTATGGCAATACTAATTACTTATGAAATATATAATGTAAATTTATAATTAATTGCTGTTGTCATATAGTGCAGGTAACGTAAACACGACGATAGAAGACAGACGACCAACACCTATAGAAAGACCGCAACTACCTCAACCCTGTCCACAACCAGAACGACAACCAGAACCGGAGCCACAACCTCCACCACAACCACAACCTCAACTGGCATCTAGAGCAGGAAAGCGAAAAAATGAAGCACAAAAGTCCAAAGCTAAACAACCAAAAATGTGGTACAGTGACAGAGAAAACTTAGTAATAGACAAAGAACAAGTAATGTACGTAAGGGCGGAAAAAATACCAGGGCAAAAGAAAATAACATCAAGCATGTCAGACGATGAAAAATTAGCAGTGGCCGAAGAAAACGAACGTATAAGAGAAGCAGCAGTAAAATTAGCAGAAATGGAAACATTGAAAAAGATTTATCTAACAGGCAAATTTTTAAACTTGGGCATACCGGAACAAGGGTACTACGATAAAAACAATTCGAAACATAGAGAAGCAATAATAAATACAGCAAAAAAAGCACCAGAACTGGAAAAACCACCAATACCAGTAGTACTACCAACACCAGTATACCCAAAATATATAACTACATTAATTATAAGATGTGAAAATATAGATAATGTAATGTACCTGTATGAAACGGATCAACAGCTAAGAGACAACTTCAAAATAAAAACATCTTTATATATATAAAAGTGGAAAAACAACCCAAAGAGCATATAATAAGAATACAAACAACATTAAATAACGCGTGGGCAACAATAAACTTTAAGTTAAGAACATTATCAGAAAGGGACAGAGGACAAATATTTAATAGATTAAGAGATGAAATGAATAAACACGGTTGGTATGTAGATGAAAGATTATAAATAAAAAATAAAACAATCACAATGCAGTTTTATTCAATCCATATATAAACGCGACATAAATAATCTAGTTTTACATAAAGAACAGTAAAAATGGGACTTAAAACTATTTGGCACATCATCTGGAAACAAATAATCCACAATTTTCATAGTTTTAAAATTAACACATATATTGAGAAGAGAGATGATGCGAATTGAGAGAGGGTGCGAAATATGTCGTTCTTCAGTAGAGGGTTCCTTGTGAAACAAGATTTAATGCTTGGCATTCTAATAATGCCAAGCATAATCCAGAACGCGATTAGTGTTGAAATTTCATGTAAATTGGTTTCAAACCAATCTCTCATGAACCTTGGACGCTGCTGTGCAAGAACCGACTCGGCATACTGGTACGATTTCTCAGCAATATGGGCCATGATGTCATCTGTCCAGATGGCATGCAGGGCCTCATAAGGATCTCGAATCGAGACGGTAGGTCCAGACGTTTCTGGTACAAAATCGCATTTCCTGCCACTCCACTCGTTCATCCCTCGCCACACAAAACTTTCATTTTCGTCCCATTCTTCCCTCTCATTCTCCTCTTCCACATTTGCAGGTATTCTTCTCCTTTCATACCTCTCCCTCCTAGTTAAATATTCACGGATTTGTCCCTGAATATCCAAGGGCAAATCCGTGTCACCCAAAAAATGTGCTCCAAAGCTGCTCCACGCATCCAACCCCCGCTTCGGCCACGGCCACGTCCGCGACCACGCCCGCGCACGGATGCGGTCCCTCGTCGCTGACGTGCCGCCACCGGGTCGATAACTTCCACACTGAAGCGGGGTGCGGGGCCTGGAGCAGGCTCTGAAGCAGGCAAATCCTGTTGAAAAATGAATACATTTTTATTGTGCTGCAAACAATATATATATATATATATATATATATATATATATATATATATATATATATATATATATATATATATATATATATTAATAAATAAATAAACCATGTTCATTTTTCAACAGACCCGAAACCCGATGGGTCTCTCGAATGCATTATGGAGGAGGTGCCTGCAGGAGTGCATATATCTGTAAGTAATATATATATATATATATATAACATCAGTCATGTAACATTTCTATTTTAATTTTTTTTTTATTATGATTAAGCATTGAAAAATACATACAACTTCAAATTTTCACATGCATAGTGTTAGCTATTTTCTATTGAACTAAAAAAATAATGTGTATGGCAAAACAACATTTCAGCTAGTATTTATATATATATATATATATATATATATATATATATATATATATATATATATATATATATATATGTTTGCAGCACAATAAAAATGTATTCATTTTTCAACAGGATTTGCCTGCTTCAGAGCCTGCTCCAGGCCCCGCACCCCGCTTCAGGGTGGAAGTTATCGACCCGGTGGCGGCACGTCAGCGACGAGAGACCGCATCCGTGCGCGGGCGTGGTCGCGGACGTGGCCGTGGCCGAAGCGGGGGTTGGATGCGTGGAGCAGCTTTGGAGCACATTTTTTGGGTGACACGGATTTGCCCTTGGATATTCAGGGACAAATTCGTGAATATTTAACTAGGAGGGAGAGGTATGAAAGGAGAAGAATACCTGCAAATGTGGAAGAGGAGAATGAGAGGGAGGAATGGGACGAAAATGAAAGTTTTGTGTGGCGAGGGATGAACGAGTGGAGTGGCAGGAAATGCGATTTTGTACCAGAAACGTCTGGACCTACCGTCTCGATTCGAGATCGTTATGAGGCCCTGCATGCCATCTGGACAGATGACATCATGGTCCATATTGCTGAGAAATCGTACCAGTATGCCGAGTCGGTTCTTGCACAGCAGCGTCCAAGGTTCACGAGAGATTGGTTTGAAACCAATTTACATGAAATTTGGACACTAATCGCGTTCTGGATTATGCTTGGCATTATTAGAATGCCAAGCATTAAATCTTGTTTTACAAGGAACCCTCTACTGAAGAACGACATATTTCGCACCCTCTCTCAATTCGCATCATCTCTCTTCTCAATATATGTGTTAATTTTAAAACTATGAAAATTGTGGATTATTTGTTTCCAGATGATGTGCCAAATAGTTTTAAGTCCCATTTTTACTGTTCTTTATGTAAAACTAGATTATTTATGTCGCGTTTATATATGGATTGAATAAAACTGCATTGCGATTATTTTATTTTTTATTTATAATCTTTCATCTACATACCAACCGTGTTTATTAATTTCATCTCTTAATCTATTAAATATTTGTCCCCTGTCCCTTTATGATAATGTATTTAACTTAAAGTTTATTGTTGCCCACGCGTTATTTAATGTTTGTATTCTTATTATATGCTCTTTGGGTTGTTTTTCCACTTTTATATACGACGATGTTTTTATTTTGAAGTTGTCTCTTAGTTGTTGATCCGTTTCATACAGGTACATTACATTATCTATATTTTCACATCTTATAATTAATGTAGTTATATATTTTGGGTATACTGGTGTTGGTAGTACTACTGGTGTTGGTGGTTTTTCAAGTTCTGGTGCTTTTTTTGCTGTATTTATTATTGCTTCTCTATGTTTCGGATTGTTTTTATCGTAGTACCCTTGTTCCGGTATGCCCAAGTTTAAAAATTTGCCTGTTAGATAAATCTTTTTCAATGTTTCCATTTCTGCTAATTTTACTGCTGCTTCTCTTATACGTTCGTTTTCTTCGGCCACTGCTAATTTTTCATCGTCTGACATGCTTGATGTTATTTTCTTTTGCCCTGGTATTTTTTCCGCCCTTACGTACATTACTTGTTCTTTGTCTATTACTAAGTTTTCTCTGTCACTGTACCACATTTTTGGTTGTTTAGCTTTGGGCTTTTGTGCTTCATTTTTTCGCTTTTCTGCTCTAGATGCCAGTTGAGGTTGAGGTTGTGGTGGAGGTTGTGGCTCCGGTTCTGGTTGTCGTTCTGGTTGTGGACAGGGTTGAGGTAGTTGCGGTCTTTCTATAGGTGTTGGTCGTCTGTCTTCTATCGTCGTGTTTACGTTACCTGCACTATATGACAACAGCAATTAATTATAAATTTACATTATATATTTCATAAGTAATTAGTATTGCCATACCTACTCTACTGCTGGTGCTCCGGCTATTGTATATTTGTTATTCCATTTGTACTTGTCTATAGCTAGCCAGAGAATAGCGTATTTGGTTGTGCCTTGTTGTATTTTCCGATCAGCAAGTTTGTTCTGTGAGATATGCATTCAATTTCTATGTTTGTTTCTACCATTATGTTTATATTGCGTCTTCTAGACTCCCGTCTTTGTTTAATAACGGTATTATTCCCACTCCTATGCTTCCCATGAAATCTTTTTGAGCGTTGGTGTACAGTCTTCCTATTGTTAGATTGTCCACTGTCGCTTCTTCATATCTCTTCGTGTTTGTTTTTACACATGATACGCTTCTTACTCCTGCGTTTCCCGTGTGTAATAGAATCGACATTGGCTCGTCGAATTATGTAATCTGCGTTTTCGAATCCGTCGTTGTGTATGTGAAATGTCCCGTCTTGGGGTTTGTATGTTTTTTCAAATATCGGTCCTATAGAGTTTGTCGCATTGAATAATATCGTAGATTCCATTATTAATGGTGGTAGTAAAAAGTGTTTATTTACAGAGTTTAAATTGAATCTGTATGCTATTTTGTTGTCTATCAATTTTGCTTGAGCCGTACTGTGATCGGGGTCTTGATCTGCTCCCGCTCCGTAGCCTTCCAAAGTTTTTCCATATAGTGTTTCAGCCTTAACACATTCAGTGCCACCGACTCGCCCGGAGAGTTCACGTAAATCTTATTCCAGTGCCGACGACTCGTCTGGCGAGTTCAGTGTTTTTCACTAATATTTCCAAAATGCATCCGTATTTTCTGCTTAAAATTATAGTTTAGACTAAATATATGCTAAACTAAAGATTTACGTGGTGGGCCAGGTGTGGAGACCCCGTTTAAATTTGAAAGGAAACAAACTATTCTGCAATGCCTTGAACTCGCTAGGCGAGTTCCCTGACATAGATCCTCAACCTTTGACATGTTAGACAACGACGTGAACATAGTAGCATGGACTACCTACATACTTGTGATATGGAACTAATATACAACAAACTAGTTTCATTAGAATAATTAGGATCGTGCCAAATGGAAATCCGTAGTCTCTGCCTACCTCTCTGGGTGACAGGCGTGAGTGTTTATGTGTTACTTATCCAAAGTCATTCTTGTTTGATTACGTATTGATATACCACCAGTTTGGTATAAAGCCTCTGTCCTAGGAAGGACTATCAAGACATTATTTTTTTTAAAACAAGCTTTAGAAATACAAAGTTATCGTAATATTTAAGATAACCTATCTAGCAGCCATATTATAAATCTTGTATCTTTGTAATAGGGTTGAAAAAAAATAAAAAAGGGTCGGCATTGATAAAACTGCCGATAAAAAAACACCGGCGCGCCGTTATATTTGAAGAACAAAAGCACTGATAACATTGTTTTTTACTCTAGCTCTAAGCTCTCATTGGCTAATGTTAAATCGCACTCCAAGAATGCACTTGCAACTAAATATTTCGTCCATTGTATTCCTATTTGTGACGTCGTTGCCTACTCTAGTAAACTTCTGTAAACTTTGTTTTCAATATCAGTGCTTTGTACCACCCTTTCGTCATCGCATGCGTTTATCTGTTCTCTACCTTTGTGACCTGGCTTACGTTTACTGGACTCCCGTGATTTGATTACCTTGGCTTGCGATTACTGGACTTGTTTGAGTGCTGTTTCGACTATACCTTTACTTACGATTACCGGACCTGTTTGAGTACTGTTTTAACTACTTTGGCAAACGTTTACTGGACTTTTATTTATTCTTAAAACCGAAAGCCCGTATTAAATTATTTCAGGGTAAAATTGTCTATTCACAAGTATTAGAAATTCAAAATATAACCTTAACAGTAACCACAACTTAAAAGGTTGACAACCACTGCTCAAATTACGAAACAAACTTACCTTTTATTTTATCCAAAGAGTTTTTTGCCATTTTTACAAGCCCAATAATCCGGAAACACTTTTTAATTGCGTAAAACCGTTAAGTACACTGTGACGGCCACAAAAATTACAAAACATAGAATTTACCCTTACGTAGTGCCAGTGAACTCACGTGGCGAGTCGATCAATTTATATTGCAGTGCCGGCGACTCGCCTGGCGAGTCAACCGTAAAATGTAGGCGGAATCCGAGAAGACATCATGAAAATCGTAGGGGTGATGAATGTGTTAATGTTTGTGCCAATCTCTACTGGTGCTAGGCTAGGCTTTTAGAGTCCCGCTACTGGAACCTTAATGCGGCATTTCATTTGGCCGAGGGGACTGACCCAAATAATCCGCTACACCCAATGGGTCCCATTCTCGACCACTTGAATGACAAGTTCCAGGAGTTATACCAGCTGGACCGGAATATATGTATTGATGAATCGCTAACTCTTTGGAAAGGGCCAGTTAGCTTTCAGCAATACATAAAGACCAAGGCAGCCCGGTTTGGTATAAAAACGTATGCGGGCCGCACAACAGGGACAGGGTTACCATCCAGCGTGTCCACAGTGTTGAGGCTGATTCAACCTCTCCTCAACCTGGGGCACACGCTGTTCATGGACAATTGGTTTAATTCCCCCTCCCTTGCGCGTTGGTTAAAACGACGCAACACAGACTGCGTCGGTACCCTGCAGCCGACTCGCAAAGGGGTTCCAGAAGCCATCAAACGTGCACCCTTACAAGGAAGGGCAATTTATTGCCCGTGCTTCCGACGACGTCATGGTTGTTGCGCTACAAGATCGCAAGCGAGTGACTTGTATCTCAACATACCATGGCGTCTCGCAAGAATTAGTTCCTGGACGCCCGGGCCACCCTGCAGAATATAAGCTTGATCTAATAAAAGATTACAATCAGAGCATGGGGGGAGTGGACCGCCTTGACTCGATGCTGGAGGCCTATCTAGTCGAGCGGAAACAATGTTTACAATGGAACCGGAAACTTTTCAAACGCCTTTTGAATATTTCTATTCAAAACGCAAGGGTCATTGTTGAGAAATCAACCAATACCAAAATCGATGCCGTAGCGTTTCGGTTGGCGTTAGTTGACAGCATTATAAAGTGCCACCTTCCTTTAGTTCCTCGTCCAGCAGCACCTCTTGAACAGCGCAGAAACCCTGTCTTTCCAATGGAGAGGCTAACAGAGCGCCACTTCATTCGCCGCATACCCATCACCGCTGAAATGCGATCTTCAGAGCAGCACCGCACGAACGTCGGTCGACGTTATTGCGTGTGGTGCACGCATAACAAGCGTAAAAGGTCAAAGACGGTGTATGAGTGTGAGGAAAGTGGATTGCCGCTCTGTCTACAAAACTGCTTCCGCGAAATTTCATACTCGGTAAATGTATTTACCGAGTATGAAATTGGATATTGTAATGACAGGGTTACAAACGAGCACACATCCACCTGATGGTAAATGTTAAATATTTTTTATTGACATATAATCATCATACTAGCACACAACATTTGTTACATATTCGCAATCATCTAACATTAGCAAACAACAGCATCAAATAGTGTTTTCTTTGTATTAAGAATAATTATTGACTAAGTGAACACCACCGTATAAGCATGCGTGCGATATATCAACACGTATCTAAAATTCGATTTCAATCAGAAATAGTTTCGTATCGATCATCCAAATTAGACGAACCGATTCCACAAAACTACGGTACGGTATATCACAGAAAAAGTAAACACGGCTTTGTTACACGGCACGGTAAATGGTTGCTGTGGCCTATGGACCTGTTAGGAATGCCTCGTTTCCAGTAAAAAGGGTCTCCGGTCTCCTCCTCCCCAGCAGTATTAAGCTTGTATTCTGTGAGAATGTGGTTCTTCCCCGGTCGAGCCGACCCATTCGTGCTACAAATTTTTTTTATAGGTAAGGGTGAAAATCATCCCTTAACATCTACATCTATCCCAACATGACTGTGAGGACTAAGATGGAATGCCTCGTTTCCAGTAAAAAGGGTCTCTGGTCTTCTCGTCGTCCTCAGTAGCGGGTTCAAGAAGGATATGAATGGCTATGAATGTTGACTGAAAGAATGTTTTATTTGGAAAGAAAAATTGTACAATAAGGGTTATTATAATATAAATGAATACATAATTGAAAATAAGCCCTGGGAATGAGGTGATCGCCACCATGCTGGTTCTATAAAAATTCATTCAAAAATTGTAAAGAAATAAATTTATTGTAAATTCAATATAAAATCATTACAAAAATCAAACAAGTGAATTTGATTATTACCGACTACATTACAAAAAATTATCGATAAATATACCAGCGACGCCACATCACTATTTGCTTCATACATTTCTTCAAATATATTTTATTTGTTATGTTTTGTGCATTGAATTGTAATTTATTGTAAATAACAAAATTAAATATGCTATTATTCTATACATATTTCATTTGTGTCGAAACATATTTGAGTGTGTTATATGTGTTATTTGTACTGTAAAATGTAAATAAAAAATTATTTTATTACATATTTCAAATAATTTGGTGTTGTATTTATTTCATATTCACACAATATATTATGTCGCCTCTACACGTTGGCCAACACAGTGGCGAATATATTGGCCGAGAGTTGGTGACGGCGTCCACACGTTGGAAGGTCGTTCAGTTTACTTCGGTTCGGGCCAATGTGCGGACGAATTTATAAGCACCGTGGCGCAGTGGCTCAGCAATGAGTGGCTGCGCCGAGCGCCGCGGGTTTGATCCCGCACGGAACAAGTATTT